AACCAGGTGAGCCCTACACAGACTTTTGAGGCTCAGCAATTAGAATCGAAATTGTACCTATCTCTAGCTGAACTGAAACCACCTCAGACACTCAGTTCTCACATCACCAAAGAGTGGCCCCCAAACTGAATGCAAACACCATTCAGTCCACCCATCACTCGGCAAGTTGGGTAATAGCAAAGATTCAAAATACTCACTAAACACAGACAACACTAAATAGCCACACTGTGCTGACTAGTTTTAAATCAACTGAACACAAGAAAGTCAACAGAGAGGAAAAGTTTCAATTGAGAAAATGCCTCATAAGATAGGCAAGCCTGTAGAGTGTTTTCTTAATTAGTGGTTGATGAGAGGCCGGGACCATTTTGGGTGGTGCCATCTCTGGTTCAACAAGAAAGCAGACTGAGCAAGCAATAACAGGAAGCCAGTAAGCAGCACTCTTTGGCCTCTGCATCAGATCCTACTTCCAGGCCATGCACAGATTGACTTCTTGTCCTGACTTCCTTCAGTGATAGATTATGATGTGGAAATGTAAGCCAAATAAGCCCTCTCCTCCACAAGCAGCTTTTGGTCATGTTGTTTCATTCAGCAATGAAAACCCTAACAAATTAGTACCAATAAATACTAATAACAACCTAATTCCAGCTCCATCACAAAATCCTAAGCAACATTAATAACCAAGACAATATGTCTCCTGTAATTATCACCCCATCATAATGTTCCTGGAGAAAAAAAAAACATAGATAATGCTCAGGACAAAGATTTCTAAAGAATGACTATAGATATATTCAAGGAAGTCAAAGAAATAACTGAATGAGAGTTGCAAAATTTTTAACATTTGAATGAAATAGTGAAAACAATTCAATATAGAATTCAATAAAAAAGTCTCTGAAGAAAAGTTGAACAGAAATAGAACTTGAAGAACTCAGGAAGTCCAACAAAATGCAGAGGAAAGCCTCACTTAATCAACTAGATCACTAGAAGAGCGAATATCCATGTATAACATAATGCAGAGGAATTTAATCACATATTAAATAAAAAAATGTGCAATGCAGAACCAAGAATACAATGACTCTGAACAACAACAAAGGATATTGAAAGTGAGAAGAAAGAATGACCAATTTGCATCATACACCTCATTTCTCAATGGAGGCTGTGAAAGCCAGAAGGGGCTGGCTACAGGGTTTGAAAAACCAAAGGTGCCAGACATTGGTGGTGCACGGCTTTAATCCCAGCACTCGGGAGGCAGAGGCAGGCAGATCTTTGTGAGTTCCTGACTAGCCTAGTCTACAAGAGCTAGTTCCAGGACAACCTCCAAAGCCACAGAGAAACCCTATCTCGAAAAACAAAAAAGCAAAAACAAAAAACAAAAAACCAAAGGTAACAGGCAAAATGTCAGCCATAATTAAAGGATAGGAAAACTTCCTATGATAAATGGATGTAAGGAATTTATGTCCACTAAGCCAGCTCCATGGAGGGTACTAAAAGGAATACTCCTGTCTGAAGAGATTAAATGCACCCAAGAGAGCACAAGAAAAAAATCAAATGATTCCAGATCAGCTCATCAAAAGAGGTCTATCAACTCTGCCACAATAAGGTAACAGGAATTAATAAATATTGTTCAACAATAACTTCCAATATTAATTATCTCAATTACTCAATAAGAAGACACAGAGCAGCAGATAAGATTAGAAAACAGAATCTGTCTTCTTGATGTGAAACACTTTCGGCATTTAAAAAAACAAAAAAAATAACAACAACAACAAAAAGGATTTCTAAAGATATTCCAAGCAAATAGAATAAAGAAACAAGCAAATATGACCTAATATATGACAAAACAGATTTTTAACCTAAAACTCAGTAAAAAGAGATAGGGAAGGATATTCATAATCAATAAAAGATAACCCCACCAAAAGGATGTTACAATTCTAAACATTTATGAACCAAACACATGGGCACTAATATACTGAAAGAAACATTATTAGATGTAAAACCACAATTCAAACCAGCACATTGGTAAGTGAATGACTGCAAGACACCACCAATTTCACCTGTCTCATTGAGTCCATAGGTGCCCCAGACAAAAATACGAAACTTTTGAGTTAAATTGCATCACAAGCTAAATGGATCTAACAGGCATTTATAGACTATTTAATCAAAATGCTAAAGAATACACATTTTTCAGAAGTTAATAGAATTTTCTCCAAAATCAGCCATGTATTAGTGTATAATTCTTTAAAAAAATGAAATAATATTCTGCATTCTGTCTGACTACAAAAGTATAAAGCTGAATATCAACAATAGAAATGGCAGTAACCAGACAGACCCATGGAAACTAAACAACAAAACACTGAATGAAAATTGTGTCAGGGAGAAATTTAAAAGGAAAAAAATTAAATTCTTAGATGTAGATGAAAATACAGTATACTAAAACCCATGGATGCAATAAGGGCTTCCTAAGAGGTCAGGTCTGCATAAAGAAAGAACTCAAGAGATCTCATATTGACAACTTAATGATGCACCTGAATGCTACAGGATATTTGTTTACACTATGTGAAGATGTGTCACTGTGATTGGTTCAATAAAGGGCTAAATAACCAATAGCTTGCTAGAAGAGACTTCCAGGTAAAGAAAGAGACTCAGGATGAATCTAGGGGCATGAGAGACACCAGCAAGACACTGAAGAAGTCAGACATATAGTACAGAGGAGAGGTAGCGGAGCCACATAGCAGGCTGTAGATTAATAGAAACAAGTCAATTTTAATTATAAGATCAAGTTAGGAAAAGCCCAAGTTAAGGCCAAGCTTTCATAGTAAGTCTCGATGCCATTATTTGTGAGCCCAGCAGCCCAAAGGAAAGTCTGAATACTCCTGAGGACTTTGGAAAAACAAAAACAAACAAAACTCCAAACCAGTAGATATGGAGATAATCATAATCATAGTTGAAATCAATGAAATAGAAAGAAAAAAACAATACAATCAATAAAATGAAGAGTTGATTCTTTGAAAAGATTTATCTTTAGCTTATTTACCACAGAAAGGAGGAAACAAAATTAATAAAAGCAGAGATTAAAATTGAAGGATTAGAATAGATACTGAAGTAATTCAAATGTTTATAAGGATATAGTAACAATGTATACTCTATTAAAAGAAATTATTGATTTTAGTTATCTAAGATCTCTCTAAATGAACTGAAGGTGAGTAAATAATTTAAATAGATCCACAACATCTAGTGAGATAGAAACAGCAATTTAAAAAATTCCACAATTTATAAAACCACAGGACCCTATGGGTACAGTACAGAATTCTACAAGAAGAGCTAATAGTAATTCTCAAATTATTTTGTAAAATGGAAGAGAAGGAATGCTTTAAGATTTTTTGTGAAGTCACTATTACTACAATATCAAGACTAAATAAAGATTCAACAATAAAAATGAAAAAAATTATAAGTCAATCTCTGCTGAACATAGTTACAAAATAAAATAAATAAAATACTTGCAGACCAAACTCAAGATTACAACTCAGCCTCATCTCAGAAATGCAGGGGTAACTTACCATACATAAATCAGTAAATGTAGCTGACCACATCAACAAACAAGATAAAATCCAAATAATCATCTCATTGGATTCACAAAATTAAACATCCCTTCATGATAATTACCCTGAACAATCTAGGAATGTGGAGGACATATCTCAATACATCTAATATATCATACAGCAAGCATACAACCAACATCATGCTACTCAAAGAAACCTCATTTCTGCTTAACTCAAGAATAAGAAAAGTATAGTTTTTCCGTTCATATTCAATATAATATAATCTGTCTAGATTTTAAAGATTCACCAGTGGGAGTTCTTGAAAGATTCCTGACTGACGGGGGCAGTAAGGAAAATAAAATGACCACTGTAAACGTTTCAGCTTGAGTTTAGAATCAATCTGACATAAAAGCTGGCAAAAAGACAGCTGCTGCCAATGGTGACAGCATTACACACAAATGATAACTATGGGCCCTTCCACAATCTCAGCGAGTCTGCTGAACTGCCCACCTACCTGCCTGTGTTCCAACTAGGAGGCAGTGTTGTCACTTGGCAGACCTAGGTCAAGTTAGTAATTTGGGAAGGGGTGAACCTTGATGTCACTATTCTTATGAGCAATCCCATGCCACCAGACCATGGCTTGTCCTGGGCTTCAGAATTGACTCTCACAGCAGTCTTACAGTGCCAGTTCTTGGCCATGTGGTTACCAATTAGGAGAGAAATGAGTTTGTAATAGCTCCTGCTGGTTAACTCTCCCAGAAGCAGTGGGAGCCCTCTGCCCTGCAGCCAGCAGGAAAGCTGCAGCATGAGGAAGGCTAACAGCTTCCTTGAGTGGTTATGAAGGGTAAAGGTATATTTATTTCTATCTACATGAGGAAGTGACACCTTAGGAGTAAGTGTAATTGAAGAGTTTTTTAGATAGAGACAAAGAAATTTAATTCCCATAAAATATTAAAGTAATTCCTGAATAATTCCCTAAGACATCAAGAAAATGAAAATGTGTTTTACCAGCAGTGCAGACTTCAGTACATTGTGGTCCTCAGTGTTTTATTTCTGTTCAGTGTGTGCTTTGAGTTACTTGCTTCCTTTAGATCTCAGATTTCCTCTAACAACTTGGAGGGGCTTTACTTCCATTTTCCATGTACATTTTCCAGTCAATGCTCAGTATTTTAATATTTTTAGAAACCAAATGGTGGCTGTCTTAAGGTAACACATGCAAATATGTTTCTCAGGACAACAGAGAAATTAATATTCCTACGCAAAATATCAATAGTAAGTCATGACTTATTTACTCAACACACACACACACACACACACACACAGAGTCATTTAATAAGCTATTGGTATTGTACTTAACCCGAGGATATCCCCAGTCAACTGAAATAAAAAATAAAAGTTTCATAAATGTGAGTTGACAAATGATCAGCCCTTTTTTTTCTGCTAATAAAACACCTGAGGCTGGGAGATTTATCAAGAGATTTTATTTAGGTGACAGTTGCGGAGGATGAAAGCTCAAGATTAAGTAACCTCATAGTTGCCAGTCTCTAGTGAGGTCTCTTGGTTGTGTAATAGCATGGCAGATGGTGGGAGTGCTTTTAGCATGCAGGAGCCAGACTCAGGGTTCAGGTTTTCTTTGCTGTTGTTCTGGAACGGGTTAGTTTTTTCCTTCTAATTTTATTTCTTTTCTTAATTTATTCGCTTTATAGAGGGATTTCTCCATTGTTGGTTTGGGCGGCAATTAGTTGAATCCACTACTCATTGATGACACAAGGAAGATTCCAGAATCGCATTCCAGGTGCCAAGAGATCCGGCTCAAGGCCACAGTTGAAGATAGCCTTTGCTTGCATCCTACTGAACACAGCAGTGCACCGTGGAATCCCTGAAGCGCGATCGCGACCTGGTTCGCATCTTGGGTCGATATTGCTCCAAGAAAAGCAGCTGTTTGGTGTTGAATGCGCCCCTTCGTTTCTGTCGGATAAAATGAACTGCGTCTTCATTCTTCATACCACATTCGATCAAAGCAAGTGCCACCAGCACAGGAGCCCTTCCCAGTCCTGCCACACAGTGCACTGCCACACAGGAACCTGGCTCCTCACGGAATTTGTTTTTTATCAGGTTCAGCCAATCATCCACTACATTATCAGGGGGTGGGGCTCCGTCGTTGTAGGGCAAGTCTAGAACACGGATGCCACGGCTTTCAACTAGAGCTTTATCATAGGTGGCATCACAAACTCTGACTAGGATTTTCACTCCATAGTTCTTAAGTTCCTCTATGAACTTTTGCATCGTAGCGTTGGTGGGACTGTGAGTTATCAGGAAACGCATGTTCTCATAGCAGATCTCCACGGGGGCTGCATGATTCATTGTGGCAAATGAGAGTGTGCCTGCGAGCGTGGTGGGCAAGCGAAAACATTAAGATCACCAAAAGGTCTATTATCGTTCTTTATTCAGCTTATTTACTCTGTAGGAAGCTTCTCCAAGATAGGCAGAAGTATTTAAAATTCATTCGAATTCAGTCTGGGCCTCAGCATCTGCAGATGGATGGATACTTTCAAACTTCAGAAACTTCCAGCTACATACGGAGCTCATCTACACCGCCTACATTCAGACACTAGTAAGACAACAGTGGGGATTGTCTTCCACCCGTGTTTACTTGATGCTTGATTTTACCTCTCATTAAAGGAAATATACTTGCAGTTACTTTTGAGGACAGTATCGGTGTCCAGAGTCTTCAAGGTGCAGTTGAATACGGCCCATAGAGTCCCCAAGGTTACTTGTTAGGGAAATTGCTGTGCTGAGCCTGGCAGAAATTGACTCTCAAATTCGGAATCGCCATAAATGTGAAGTGTGTTTTCCACTAAAGTCCTGCGGTGACAGAGGAGCTGCAATCTCCCTAAGAGTCTATGCCCTATACACCCCGCCAGGCCCGCTGGCGGCACGTGACCCTGCGACCATCTTGCCTCCCTGGCTGCCACTGCCTCTCTGCCACTACCACGTGGATGCCGGGAGGGCCTCGCCTTGCTCTGAGCTGGACAAAGCCCCTACCCCAGTGGCTAGCCATGGACACTGCACTCCAGCCAATCGGGCCACCGCTACCCTACTCTTGAATTTATTTATTATGGTTTGCTTGTAAAACAATGAGTTTCATTATGACGTCTTCATCCACATATCATGTATTTACTCGCAGCTGCTGTCTGCTCTATTTTGTCCCTTTCCCACCCTCTTCCCCCTCCTCTCCCTTCTCCCAACGAGTTCTTCCGTTTTCATGTCTTACAGTTATGATCTGAATTACGTATATTTAAATCTATATGATGGAAAATCGGTATTTATCTATTTAATCTGGTTTCTTTTGTTCACTGTGATCCCTAGTTCCAGCCATATTTCTGAAAAAAAATTAGTTTTCATCTTTAAAACTGAGTCACTTCCTCCGGATATATAGACCACGCTTTCTTTATCCATCACTTGGTGACAGACCTCTAAACTGGTTCTGTTTGGTGGCTCTTATTAAGGCAGCGATATGCAAGTATCTCAGAAGTGTGTGGACTTAGGTTCTCTACTGTCAACACTCAGAAGCTCTTTATCGTGGCTGCGCCAGGAGTGAGCAAAAGTACCTCCCTTGACATCCTGACCAGCACTCCTTTTGTTTTTTTCGCCAGTCTTCTCACTAGGTTATGTGACCACAAAGAACATTTTTTTTTGTTATTGTTGTTTTGTTTTATTTTGTTTTGTTTTGTTTTCCACTGCCTAAACGGATAATAAAAAATGCCAGACAATTTAAAAAAAAATAAGTTTTGGCCATTAGTATTCCAGGCAGAAGTCCTTTAGTTTATGAATGGATACTTTGGGAGTTAGTGTGTTTTTAGGTTTCAGAGTGCTTTATCTGACTTCAACCCCTGCCAGAGGACTGTTGGCAAAGGATTCACCCTGTTCTTTTATCTCCTGTGCTGTGCAGAATCTTTTGCATTTCATGTGATCCCATTTGTTGAAGAGGTGATCATTTCACCAAGGGGTGATAGCTATTTTGTGTCCTCTATGCTATTTCTCAAGTCAATATGAGGCTAGGACCATTTCATTTTGTTACTATGGCATAATTTGAGATTGCTTGTTGTATGCTTACAGCATTGCTCATTCCACCAAGAATTGTTTGAGATATTCAAGGTGTTTGGTATTTCTATAGGAATTTTTATCTCCATCTGTAAAAAGTTTTCACTATTTCATCCATTTTCATAGTACTAGTTTTGCCAATTCATGAATATGGGAGGTCTTCCTTCTTAAGATATCATATTAAATCTCTTTCTTTAGTCTTTGGGAGATTTATTATTGATATTTTGAAGAAATGTTATAAATAGGATTTTTTCTTCTTTCTTTACAAGTTCACAATTATAAGTGTATAGAAAATGTACTGATTTTAAATATTAATTTTGTGATCTATTTTTTGAGTGTTTGCAGGTCTATGAGTTTTCTTGTAGAATATTTAGATTCATTCAAATGTAGGGCCATGGCATAGGCAGCTAGCAGTAGTTCAACTTCTTACTTTTCTACTTAAAGAGAATTACCGTGATTACAGCTCTAGCTAGCACTTCAGTCACTATTTTGAATGAGGGCAGAAACACTGAATTCCTTTTTCTCATTCCTCAGTTTAGAGAAAATGCCTTCCTCAATTTACCTTAATCTGATTCTAGATTTGTTTTAGATAGACTTTAATTAAGTTGTAGTATGTTCCTTCTATTCGAAGTATCTTCAGAACTTTTATCGTGAAAGTGTATTGAACTTGATCAAAAGCCTTATCTGTCTCCATTCATATGCTCATGTGACTTCTATCATTAAGTTTATGTATATCCTGGAATTGCAACTGCTGATTTGCATATGTTTAACTTTATGTTTCCATTCCACAAATGAAAATGAAAAGTCAGTTTTTAATACAAATTTAAAAATTCATATGTGAACACAATGTGTTTTGATTGCCAGGACCCTCTGACTCCTCTCTCAACTCTTCCTAAATGTAAACCCAATTTCCCCACTCCCTCCAACTTTATGTGCATTTGGTTTCTATCATTCACCAAGTCAAACTTATGCTTCCTATATGGGTGATGAGTATAGGACCATCCATGGAGCTAGATCAACCTACCAAAGGTCACATCCTTGGAGAACAGGGAGCCTCCTTTGCTCTGAGCTATCAACTGTAAATAGCTCCTCAGTTAGGAGTTGGAATTCCTGAGTCCTTTCTCACTCCATGCTAGAATGTTCGCTGGTTGATTTTGTACATACAAGCACAGCTGCTGTGTTTGTGAGTCCTGTCACATGCAGAAGTTAGTTCATCCCTTCCTGACCCTCTTCCATAATGAAGCCTGAGCCTTGGAGTAAAGGTGTCTCATTTTTGGTGACAACTCCACAAACACATATTTTCTACACATTGACTAGTTGTTTCTGAGCTAACTGTATCTTTCAAACAAAGAAACTTGTCTGAAAGGTTTCCGGAGTTGTGTTTATCTTTCTACTCATACTGAAGTGATCCTTTTAGGACCCTTTGAAGGGATGGCTTAGGGGTCATGATTTTTTAACCTGATTTTATCATGGGAAGTTTTTCTTCCACTGTCAATTATGACTGAGAGTGTTACAGAATATATTAGGCTGAATTGGGAGCTGTGCTCTCTCAGAATTTGGAAGATCCACTCCCAAGCCCATTTTGCTTTCATGGTTTGAAAAGTTACTAGTTATTCTGATGGGACTGCCTTTGGGTATGAGTGGGTGCTTTTATTTTGCAACTTTCAATATAATGTCTTTGTTTTGCATGCTTTTGTTTTGATTACTATGTCATGGAGAATTTCTTTTCTGGCCCTTGTAGTATGGTGTTCTGTGTGCCTCCAGCATCTGGATGAGCTTCTCTTTCCCTAGATTTGCTCAATTTTCTATCATTGTATTAAAATATTTTTATGCATTTTGTGTGAAATTTTTTTCTTCTATGCCAATAACACATTATCAGTTGCTTAGTACAGTCACGTTTTCACCAAAGTTTCACTGACAATTAGCTTCCTCTACAATTCCTTACGTCTTATTTTGAAGGATATCCTCAAAAGGGTTGGAAAATTAAAATCTATTTTAATTTTTCCTGTGAGTATTGGAGAAAAGGGCCTCCATGATATTGTAGCTCAATATCAGTAGTATTTAACCTGAAACATTGAACCAGGTCAACCACAGTTACTTACAAGGAACCAAGTCACAGAAAGACCAGTTCTGACCAATCTGCCAATGAGCATGTGGCAAAACATTAACACCAAGGCAAATAAAAGAAACTATCTGCTTTCCCTTACCTAAAGACAAACTCAAGCACTTACAACATCCATCCCTACCAGGAAAGATATGCTCTGCTTATTCCTGATAATATGTATAATTGGTAACATCAATAATTATGACAAAATATTACCAATGTTTTAGCAAAAACTTGAAGAGTTAATATGTCAGGCCCAAAGGAAATTCCAATTACCAAACTCCAAAAGGCAGTCCAAATTTTTATAAAATGGTCTCAATCTGGACTTTAGGAGGATTTCTGGTGGTTAGATGAAAGCCAGCATTCCTGCAGAACCTGAGGAACTAGTTCCTCTTTACCAAAAGGGACACATGGCTACCTGTGGTGTGTGGTCTTTATCAGCATACCAAAGCTCATCCTGGCCTCCAGCCTCCCTCAGTATGGCAAGTACCTGTTACACATTTCAAAGTCCATGCTAGCATGCTATCACCTTACCCCGAACTCCCCCCAGATCATGGGGTCTAGCCACTCAGACTCTTTGCAGTCCCGTTAATCTTAATATGTTCTCTCTGTGTCTGTCTGTCTGTCTCTCTATGCTCTGCTTCTGCTTCTGTCACTATGTTTTCTCTATTCTCCATCTCTTTCTATTCCTCCATCTCTCACAGACAGCCCTGTGTAGGTCCAGTCTGCTGGGCCATGTCCATCTACTTATTTCTCTCTGCTCTGGACTCTTCCAGATGTCTCTGGATATTCTCTCTCTCATATCTTCATTAAAAACATACCACTTAGCCATATCACAGAACAGTCATATTGTCAGTTCATACAAATATATAGCTTAATATTATTATTTATTTATTTCCCCAATCAGTGTTGTACTACCAGAAATTTGTTTCTAGTAGTAAGCATGTAGTCTAGGGTCATGAGGTGACATACATAAGTAGTTTAACCACTGAATTACACCCATGCCATTCATTATTTAGGCAATTTTACATTGATTTAAAAGCATATTGTCACATCTCTAAGCGTTCCTGTTTCTCACAAAATTGACAAGTGAGCAATTGGTGGAAAGAGAAAATCTCAAGGCAGAGGAGACTGTCCCAACAAACTTGCTGTAAAGGCAGATTGAAGTAGATGGTTCATCTGGCCTTGAATTGTCCACAATCATCGACCCCCACTCCACTGAAAGTGTTCTTAAAATTTTCTTACATGTTACTAGATCTGATGACAGCTCATGATTTTGATCTTTGATTTTCCATTATCATTTCAGAGTACAATACCCACATTTACTTGAAATCATCTACCTTATTTAATCTGTGGGCCATCACATTGTACTGGTATCCATTCTGCCTACTCAGCCGGCTGTTTCTTCTTTCCCCAACATCTACATTTTGGTTAATATTGTTGTGCCCAAATTCTGAACCCCCGAATCACCAAGAGACCCACTTCAATGCAAAAGCAAAGAGTTTTTATTGAAGTTATTTAATGAGCTAAACATATTAGCTCTGGCCCTTCATCCCTCCACCATGGCAGATGACTGGAAAAAGACCCTGAGCAACCTTGAGGCAGGGATCTTAAAGTGCAGCATAAGGGGAGTGTCTAGGGGTATGAAACAGTCTCAGGATTGGTGTGCTCCCAGGTTTGGGTGACTTGCCCTGTGTTGATTGGTCAACTGGCTGGCACAACAATATTAACCATTATTGAAAAGTCAGCATACATAGAATGGGAAATTAAATGCTCATAAAGAATTTATTGAAACATGTGTCCAGGCCTTCAAGAAATGGGAAATGCTTACCCCAAAGCTAATAAGAACAAGAATTTCTAGTCACCCTCTGCCTGATGGGAAGGA